ATCTCTCAGTATGTGAACGTACTGAGCAGAATGCAAGTGTCTCTCGATTCTATGGATTATTCCAATGTCACGAGATGACATTCAGCCCCAAAATGCTACTGAGAAACGACCTGACCTGGGGACTTGCTTTAAGTACTGCGAATTATAGCGGTTTCCTTGGGGCCTGAAAACGCGAACGAATCCAACATTTGCGAAGGAGAATATACTCTCATAAGAGAAAATGACATCAGCCCAGTGTCAATGTAAATTTTCCTCCGCAAATGCCAGTCTATACAGCTGGTATTCTTCTGACAGCTTCGATTTTCGAGCTTCACTTCTGGATCGCAGACCAGCCTCCAAAAGTCTGCTGCGTATTGTTCTGGAACATCCAGGAAATCTGGTGGTTCATCGCAGTTGTGAAGAAGTTTGAAAAGCGTTTTCCACCGCTGCTTCTATCAAAACTCCATCTTGGGGAGCATATGAAATACGCCAACCTAGTACCTAGTTTCCTCCCGATTCTTACGTCTCTCAATAACGTTTAAGCCAGAATTGCGCGGTCCTTGCCCCCAACGCCATACCGACTCGCCGCCTCTGAAACAGAGAGGTCCTCTTCTACTAATGCGATAACTCGCCCTCGCTATTGTGAGCCATGTCGAATAATGAATACGGAGTGGTCAATTTGCTTCGCCGCAATTTTTCTTTTCTTGCCACGTGGCATTGCTGCCGAGCTCCCTATCTCCTTTTGACTTGGAGTCGAATAACACGGAAGTACTGCGAGGGACAGATTTAAATCGATAGTACCGTGAGGTTTACGAGAGAAAATCGATAATCTCTCTCAACAAAAGAAATTAGTTTATTCGACTATCTTATGAACTAAAATATTGTAGCAAGCAAAACGTCATCACTAATATGACTAGTAGTCTTATGTTTTACTAGAAGCAGTAATATTTTGCGTTCATTTTTGGTAGAAATGTGTTTTTGAAATAAAAAAAAATCGCTATTTCATGCCATTATTTTTTATTTACAATCTGCATTATATTTTTGTGCATAAAAAACGTGCAATACACATAATAGATTTCTACATACATCTGAAATAGATGTTTGTATGCACGACATTGTAATTAACTCCAATAGCATAATCAAAGTCTAGGAACATTTTCGTCTTCAAAATTATTTTTCGACAAATTATTTATTCTGTCGTTCTTTTAACACTCCTCGTATAACAACACATTTTATATTAACGAAACTTGGAAGCAACATTACGTTCACAAAGGTTAATGTCAATTCAGTTTCATGGGTAGGATTTAGAGACATCTTTTTCCTATTTACTTCTACTATTTAGCTCTCAATGGACGTTAAAGTATTTTATACGCTCTCCAATAAAATACATTTAATCTTCATAGTTCGATCTACAGAACATACAGATCTACAGAACGTTTCGAAAATAAACGTTAGATAGCGCAGTTGGTAAACGGATGTCCAGCGCCATCAATCTCTCGGGCATTTTCGACGCAAAACTTAATGTCGCCAAGAGTGTACATATGAAGATTTTGAATTTGAAATAATTTAGCGAAGTAAATAGGGAGCAGTCCACATTTTAAATGTAGCAATAGTGACCAATACGTCTGGCCAACTATCTAGATAGGTCCAGGTGGAAAGAACTGGAGGAACTATACCTTGGTTATCCGGAACAATTTTCATCTTAGTTTTAGAGTTACGTGAGAAACTAGGAGCACTTTGATTCAGGAATAAAAATCGACAAGACACTTTGATGTTGCCTCATTATCTATCTCGAATAGAGCTGTTCTCGTAAGTTATTCTGATGTCACACAATAAACAGTGGTAGTAACCGGGAGACGTACTAGAGGCACGTAGAAATCGTACCCTTAATTTTTTCCACATTTTGAACATAATGGGAAGGGTAGTCGTTGCCACATAGGTAGAGGACTTAACATGAAATAAACTCTGAAAAATAGTTACGAGACCGTGAAGAAGATTATTAGAGACAGTTTGGAATTTTGAAATGTGTCCGGCAATAAATACTTCTTGTCCGTGTTCCGTACTGCATTTTATTTCTTCTTTGTCGTGTTTCACATGAAAATGTAAAGAAATTAACAGTGTACTGACTAAAAGAACAGGGAAATCGTACGACTGATGGTAATTTGCATTAATGAGGTGCGTCTAATGTAATTTTGAAGAAATCCGATGAAGCAGTGAGGTAAGAGGTAATTCACTGGGAATAAATACAAAATGCGATATGAAAAGAAAATTGACATATTTTTACTGGAGATAGGAAATTCATTGAGGAAAATTTCTTTGAAGTGGTTGAACGAACATACAGACATTCCCGCAACTACCTCAGATCAGACAGTGGCATTATAATACAAAAGTAATAAAAATAAACTGTACTAAAAAACCATTATTCTACAAACATATTATATATATATATATATATATATAATATGTTTGTAGAATAATGGTTTTTTAGTCAATAAATACTTCTTGTCTATATATATATATATATATATATATATATATATATATTTAATGACGCTTTATTAAATTTGTTAATAAAGTTTACGTTACATAATATCATGTTTTCAAAACAAGTGATAGAAATAAATATAATTTAGTTCGTACTTAGGCTTAAAACATGCCTTTGGAAAGAAGGTATCTAACTTAGAAATTCGTAATTTGAAACGAGCATTGATTACCATACAATAAACGGCGTTGTTACTCGGACGTTTGCCGTGCACCAATTACCGACGTCCTGCATCCCTGAAATCGAAACTTTACTAATTTTATTTATGCGTGAAAAACTCTCAATGGTTGTCGGAGGAGAGCCTTTTATACGATTCCTCATTTCTTCGAGTCTAAACACTACTTTCTCTACTCATTTCTTTGAGTCATTTCCTCGAGTCTAAATACTACTCAGAAATTTTGTTTAATACTAACTCTGAAAATTGTACCTTTCATTTTTTCACATTATATGCCTAATGAGAGGGGAGTTAGAGGATATTCCGGCTTTCGCAAAATAACGACCTTCATAGTAAACACATTAAAATTATAAACAGTTTGAAGAATTCCTGCACATGTCCTGTTAGTGTCTGAGTCAATCGCCGCTAGCCGGTGAGATAACTGAATTATTTCAATATCATCACCTTCAAAAAGTTATCTCTTTTAAAAAAATTATTTTTATTTTTAAATCTTATAATCTAAAGCTTATCTTTGTCGCTAGATCTTGACAAATAATTTTTAAATCCGAGAAGGATTGAGAATAAAGAAAGGAAGTTTGGTTTGTTATTAGTGGCAAGCATGTATTTTGAAAGAATGTCATTTACAATATTCTATTGAATATCACTTCAAGAAAATCGTCTATGAATGTGGTCATATGAACAACAAATAAATATGCATGAATCACTGTTTTCTCATAATTAACTTGCACTGTAATGAAATGTTGATATTGCTTTCCTTGTGAGTGGGTTGTAATCTGAATCGTTATCTTGATGGGAGCAGAGAGTATATAGATGGGAGTGTCTCTGCTGTGACCACGTGATGATGTATATGCAAATTCTCTGGAAATTATCATACGTATATGATAAGTTGTATAACCTTCACAAGCGAACCTTATCTTCGTTTACATCTCCTTTCAATTGACTTCCAGAAGAAAAAAAAAGTTCAAACAGGAACACATTCCTTTCAGGTAATTGTTGGCCTTCTTTCACAAAGTTTTTTTTTCTTTCAGAAAACATGCTAGCCTGTTTATAATGTAGTTACCATGCAAGCTGATTCATTTAGAATGCTGTTAGCAAACATAAAACACGCATGCTTGGAAATTTAACCTTTCGTTTGCGGGGTAAAATTTGCGTTTGCGGGTGCTTTCTAAATGGGCGAGAACAGAAGATTCTTAATAGCCTAAATAATCCGAACCACTACCAAAAACTTTAAAACACACAAAAAAAAATATAATCATTACTCGTATAGTAAAAGTAGAAATACTACCCGTTCAGTTGAATTAGCGTCATGTAGCTCATCTCAAAATCTTCTTCGTCGCGTACGACATGTGCATATTCTTGAAACAAGAACACAAGAATTCTTTGGTTATATGGCTTCTACCGAATCTGTGGTCTCTATGTATATCTGAATGGTGATCGTACTTCTCGGCGGAGCTGCACTCTCTGAGCGCGCCAACGCGGTAGGGCGCCTCAAAAAACGTTCGTGTACTACACGCGCAACTTTTCTTGATATTCCGCAGCGGGGGGTGCGGGGAGAGAAGGGCTCTAGTTTACGTCACGGCTTTAAAGGGCGTACCAACTGTAGGCATAAACTCAACGCGCCAAAGCGAGCCACAAGGAACGCTACGATTGTTTTGAAGGTACGATGTGGTTGTTGGCAGCTTTGTAAATTGGTACGTGCCGTTCCGAGTCGAACCTAACTATTTCAACGGGCCGTGCTATTCAGCGCTGGGGAGGACTAGGGAGCTCGTGTATCAAGAAAACTTGGGCGTGTAATACGGTCGGACGAACAGTCGGGGGGGGGTGAGTTATCATTCGATTTAAAATGGAAATTACATGTATTACCGAGCCTGTCACATTTCGCAATGATTCATAAACAAAGTCATAGATTAGTTTCAGTTTATATCCATTGTCAAATAGAGTTTTGCTTCTTTTAATTTAAAATTGTGAACTACATTTTTCCCGGGTGATGTGCTTGATCTAAACAATTCGAAAATCCTTCAAAAAACATGTTTAGAGTAGAATATAAGGTCTTGAAACGTTTTAGCTCTTAATGCTAAATGTTTTCATCTTTCCTCACAGTTACTACTGAAGTTAACCAATAGCTAGGTACAACGAATTCTCGGAATACTCAAACGAGTTTTAAAAAAGGTTCCAAAGCATTACATTGCAATCGTGATAACGCAGCACATGCTTGAGTACCGATTGTAGAAAAAAAGAGAGAATACTACAACATGCGTTTCTGGGGTTACATTGTTTTTGGGGTCTCTCTATGATTGGAAATACCTGCTGTCGGGTACTCCGTAATGTGGGGTTCCAGAGTTTGGCTTCTCCTCCATCTTGGAAAGGGATGATCTAGACATACAACGTGGAAGGGCGGTCACGGTCTTGTGATTCAATATAATATCATTAGAAAGTTGCCATGCAAGGGCGTCTGGTCCCATGGATAAAGCAGAACGGAACATACTTTCTCGCATACGTTTGCAATTTTCGAAAATTCACAGAGATCAACAAAAATGAGATCTGCCTGACGAAAGTAAAGAAATATTTTGGAGCGTTTTTGAGAAAAAGCATAAATATTAAAAGTCATAAATTGCTGTAACTACAAGCAGTAATATTACGAAAACTATTCGTGTTAAAAAATGTTCATGACCATAAAATCTATTTTTTAGAATTGATTTTAGTTACAAAATATCCATTATAAATTCTGTATTTATGCAATGTTAATTTTTAGTACTTTTAACAATACATTGAGTTCCATGAAAATGGGACCACTACAATTTCTTTATTGTCCTAAAATTAAAGAAAAAAAACGTTATACTTTCACGCAAAATTAGGCGAAAACTACTCGTATTTTCGGAAATTTGTCAATGACCTTTTTTAAGACCTATCATTGAACAACAGAATTTTCAATACTGTAGTTGTAGGAAGATGCCGAAAAATTTTAAAACTTTTTCAATATTCGAAAATTTAGAGATATAAATGAAAATGACACATTTTTTAATTATTCTTTATGATTTATGGGGTCAAAGTTACCTTTATGGAACCATTTTTGAGAAACTTTTGAAAACGAGGCTTCTTGTATGGTAACCTCAAAAATCAAAATATCCGTTTCAAACTCGCAGGATCTCCAAATCTTTTAGATTGTTCGGGAAATATCAATTTTGGAGAAAATCTTCTGAATGGATTAGGTACCAGCGTTAACCATAGACGGATAGATATCAGATGGATAGACGGACAGACGTTTTGCCGTCAATCAATTTTTCGGTTTCAATGACCCACAAAAGCTGAAATCTGACCATCCGACGCGTTAGAGGAAGTCGTTTACTACATACAGGGAAGATTTATGCATTTTTAGTTGCCAGAGCCCGGCACCGTTTTTGTATCGATTTCTGTCGCAACAATGCAATATTTTCTCTTCACTACGTAAATATGTAGTATGGAGAGAAAGTAAAAACAATGTAAAATTATATTTAGTAACCAGCTTATTAAGGAAATGGTTAAACACCTGTACATCCTAAGGTTGCTCAACTTCTCGACTTACTCTTATTGCAATCACCTTATTCAAATGTACAAGTACACTTGTTTTGTCTGTACTTGTAGATAACACAGGGTTTCTTATAGGTTTATTTGAATTCTTTATCACAAGAATGACATGCTTGTATTACTATTCTTCAATTAATTTTATTTTTTAATAATTCTACTGCATTGATTAATGTTTAAAAATAGTAGTTATAATATTATAAATCGATTTTTTTAGGTACGTCGTCTGAGAAGTACTGGGAACAAACTAGAAGACAAGATGGTTCAGGCATGAAGGTACCTTACACTTCGATAATATTTGCCTCTCTGTTAGCTTGCGTTCCCCAGGTTATACATCCAAAGTGGCTTGTGACTGATGCTTGATCTATTCTGAAAAGATTCACAAAACGCTCCTTAGGGGTAAAAGGTCACTGGCCTCGGCGGGTAAAATGCAAATTCTACAATAAATAAGTCGAACTCCGAACTAAGAACCTCAAGATAAGTACGGAGATGGGGAGCCAACGGAATGTTGGCCTTTGTGGAAAGAGGGTTCAGCGTCCGCAGGACTTTCGACGGCCGTTATCGCCGGCGCGGCGTTCCTCTCGAATGCGGTTGCGGGTGCGGGGCGGCTCGATCCGGCTGGCGGAGCGCGAGCGGCGCAGCTCGGCGGCCGGGGCGGATGCGGCCACCTCCGCCGGCTGACGTCATCGGCGCCCGAGGCCGCGCCGCGCCGACGCGGTCCCCCCTCGGCCCCCAGCGCGGCGCCGCTGTGACTCAGGTAGACGACGTAACACTCGGAACACCCCGATGACGCCGTCACGAGGTTCGTCACTTGCAGGCCACCGCGCCGCTGCCGCTGCTGCACTGCGGCGGTGGGCGTGGCTGGGGCGCTGCCCTGGCGAAGACGGGTCGCCCATGTCTACATGACGATTCTGGAGGCCGACCTTTCACACTTTCTTTACGACTTCCTGTGAGTCGTCACCTTCGATGCTTCTATTTTTATTCTACAGAGGATTTTCGAAATTCGAGAGACTGAACGACCTATAATGATTTTAGTGTTTAGCGGTTTCACTCCGGGTTGGTTCGGGGCTGAAGTTGATTTAGTAATTGCAGGATGATGCGGGAAATCGTTGCTACTCTCAGTAATCTTCCGCACTCTATCCCCACTATCCTTAATGGCTTCCGCGATGTTTGCCCACTACGTTTCTTTGAACGTAGACGAATAATTTACATCATCTTCCTAACAAGTTAATACTAACTAAACAGGAACGTCAGCTACCACGGACATACGGACAGAGCTGAGCAGAGGCCGTTTTAGAGACACGCCATGCTATTTATCTACAAGAAGAGTTCTACCCACCTCCTCTAAAGATCATTTTCACTCGTTTTGCAACAACGCGCACCTACACTTTGGATGCATTTTTGCGCATCAAAATGCCGCCTTGCGTCTAAATAAGATACATTTCCCGGTGCAGTATACTCTTTTAGCGTGCACCTCAATATTGAGAGTAGATTTTCGACCTTCTACGAAACGCGATCTTCTGTATCGCGATTATGGTAATTTAACTCCTACAACATTTCTTTACATTTTTTTCCTTCAACATGTCTTTAATTTATGACATTTGTTCACTCGTAATAAGCTGCAGGCGCAAATTATACCGCCGAGAAAAAAAGAAAAGAAAAAAAAACATGTGAAAGCGTGATACAGTAAAATTTGGGCGAGTTAGGAAATTGGACTAAACCTTACTACGACAAACTGCCTAGATGTAGAAAGATGAACCTACGTAAACGAAAATTTGTTTTTAAAAGTAATAATTAATAGTTTCGGTAACTTATTTGGAAGGAGCGCGCTGGTATATATAAATATATCTAAGCTATATTTTATCCAAAAAACAAATCAATCAAATATGTTTTATTTTAATTCACTTTGCCGTCCATGGGGCTGACAACCTTCCGATAGGGGACATCCAAATCGCATTTGACTTAAAAAACGCTCGAGATTAAGTATACATAATTTTAATTCGCCTTTGCGACTAATTCTCGGGACCTGCAGCGAATGGGCGTGGCCAAGGGGAGGGCGGGGCGGATGCCGGTATCGCCTTCTCAGGGAATTGGACGTTTTCTGCTGGTAAAGTAATAATTTGTTCTGGCCGGAGATATTGTTTCTTCGCATTAGGTACCCCATTATGATTTTCACTCTTTAAACCAAATCAAAGACTCCAAACAAAGGAAATTATACGAGTAAAATAAACTTGGGTAGGGAACATGGGAATGTCATGCACCCAGTTGCATTGGGCTTCAAGGTAACTGTTACTGGTGTCAATTATTCATCACATCAATAGTAAAAGAGAGAAAAATGCAATTTTCGTCATGACAGTAGTCTGAATTTTTAATTTGTTACTTCCCCCTCCTGGAGAAAATTTCCAGTTCGCACTATGATGGCGGCTCGCGAGAAATGGTGACGACGGTTGAACAGCCAGAAGGGGCTGCACCTCTGGTGACTTGTGTGAAAGGGCACCTCCTCGGCCTCGGCGTCGCTTCTCAGCCAACGCCCATCCGTCTTCCCACACTCCAATCCCTCTCCCCGAATTTATCTTGACATTTGCATTCATACCCTATTCTCCTCACTATAATATCGCTAATGAATGAAGAAAAACGTGCGCCCTCACTGAAGCTGTAGAGAAATAAGAGGACAGAGAGCGATTCGCCCGATGCTCAAATAACCAAACTGAAAATTAAGAAGCACGTCTAATGCACAAATCGTTTGTAATATAATCACTTCATTATCGTTCAGTGGCGTTCATTTTGTCACAGGAGAGCCGAATGCATTAGGGGATGCCACGCAGTTTGAGCGAACATTGTTGAACGGTATCTTAACAAGAACTCTCGAACAATTTGCGTTAATGAGAATTTGTACGTTGCACGAAGATATGTGCGTACTACCCTCTTCCAACCATCGTCTGTCTGACTTGTTCACTCAATGGACTGTTTTATGTCCCCGTGTTGCATGGTATACGAGTTCGTCCCAAAGAGGCAACGCCGGCAAGGACCGATCCACTCTCACGTCCCACGCAAAGGATCCAGACATTCAATACACAGAAGAGTACTCCACGTTTATAAACGATTGTCACGTAAATTAAAGTAAACAGGCGTTCTATTACGACCAAAGTTAAGAACGAGAGAAGATTGGCGAACGTCACTTCAGAATATTATCCATTATTTAAATATATGTGGGATAGCATGGAATTTAATTGAAACATATTTCTGGAATGGTCCGATTTGCAAATGAACACTCGTTGATACGTATGTGATGGACTGAACAGTTACATAGGTAAAACATTCGCCTTTCCGACCACATTTCTACATGTTTCTTTTCATTCGACCGATTAATTGCCATTTTCTCAACCACCCAACTGTAAAGCAACGGGCTCTAGTATTCCTCATTGGTGTCAGTACTCACCAGAGGCTGACAGACGCAGCGGCGGCAGTGGCGACGACCAGACTCCGGAGCTTGCGGACGACTGCGGCACTATATCTCTGCTTCGACCGGGCGCCGGCTCCGCCCTGCCCCTCCCCCTCGCGCCACGCCTCGCCGCCGCTGCCTCTGCTCGGCCGCCCCCGCGAGCCGCGGCGGCAGAGTTGCCAACGGTGCGCGCCGGCCAACCTTTAGATGGACTCCGCGGTGGTGCGTATTCGTGGTAGGAGAATTGCGTTCGGTTTGGACAGCATTGCGTTTTCTGCGAGTGTTAAGAGGTGCGTGACTTCAAGCGAAAAGCACGCTCACTTGGGCTTGAACCCATTCACTCACCTTGAAACATCATACAGTTGGGGCCCCTCGGCTTATTCACCTGCGGTCGGCGTCATTGGAATGGAATCTAATTCGTTACAGTAGTGCGCGCAAGAAGGGATATGACTTATTACTTATTTTTCGTCTCGCAGTTCGGGGAATTTGAATGGTGAATGTGAGCGATCGTAATGATGTTACAAAAAACGTAGGGGACGAATTATTGTTGATTATCAAGCCCGAGCAACTAAAAATAGATCGAAAACACACGATCCACAACCATCCCGCGATTTTGACTGATTTCTGAGAACAAAAAAGTCCTTTATATTTGAGGAGTTACGATTAATTCATTGGTGAATGTGGGAGCGTCAACTGCAATGGTCCGTAGTCCCATATGTTGTGCATGTTATAACCAGGGCGGTGGCAGTGTTTCTCCTCGGCTAGAAAGTGAGATCCAGCGCCGACCTTCACGTCCGATTGCCGGGTTTTCCTATCCAGGTATCTTCTCCGACAGGAAGTTGTCCTAGGTGGAACATGCTCTAAGGTCCCATCTGATATCTCTGCATATTACATGTGATAGTGTAATGCATGTAAATGTGTGTGTGAAGGAAGAAAGGAGTGGACAAGGTCGAGGAAGTAAAGATCGCGCGCGGTCCGTGACCCGTTTGTTAGGGATCTGCTTCGGCATTCCCATGGGATTGGAATGGGAAACCACGAAAAACTACCGACGAGAACTGCTGGCCGCTAGAACTCTCTGACAGCAGCTGAATTTGACCTAGGCTCGTAGCTAGTGTCGACAATTCGCCATTGTCTGGACTCAAACTTGATTGGGTTAGATTCGGTCCTTCCAGCCAAAGCAGTGGCAGCAATTGTTACTCTGACGTAACTCAGCCGGTGAGAAAGTATGGAAATATCATGCGAAAGATTTTTGATTCGCGTATTAAATCCTGGTATCTCGCTAATATCGTGCTTTCAATTATACTTATTAACAGCAAAATATGTCAGAATTGTTTTCTGAAATCTTGTAATGGAAGGAAAAATAAGTCGTATTATGCGAAACTATCCCTATATACGTAACGATTTATTGTAGGTACCAAAACGTATTCTAAAATGTATTTATTTATTTACTAGTCAGGCTTGTGCCCTATTTCAGCTGGAACATTGAGTGGCGCTGAATCAGCTGCCATATAGCACTAAGTTGTGTGTGCGCCCCATTGCCCCGGGACGGCCGAAAGCTCCCAGAAGGCGTCGGACTTCCACTTAAAGTTATTTCCGCAACAGATGAAATTCTGTTTCAAGAAGAGATGCGTCGAGACTTTTATTCGTGTTAGAACTCATGAAAAGGATACTTCAAACCTATTTCAAGAAATATTTCTTACATGCTTTATTATTTTATTAAGCGTCTGTATTTAGTGAAAAGCGTACGAAAGATGATATACGAAGATTGTGGTCTATTCTTCAGTATTCGTAGAATCGCATTAAATTTCTATATCAAAGAATTCGCATTAATAGTGTTGCATTATTTTCGACATGCTTATGATCTGTTCTTACAAAAATATACATAATGACTTCGCTTATATTATATATAATGGCTTTCGAACAAACTGTTAATTGGCTAATGTGGCTGGTGGTTGGCGATTGGCTAATTTGGTTGGCATTTCGCAGAGTGATGCAATCTTTGGCGATGTTAAGTGTTTTAGAGACGGAGCAGGGCTCCAGGTGGGAAGCGGCACGGCGGCGGCGGCGGCCGTTCGGAAGCAGCCTTGAACCCTCCGCTCTCACGGCGCTGCTTGTCTTCCTTCTCAACTCCTTCGCAACGAAACAGCCTCACAGCCTTTTGGAATGGCTGCGTAGTTACCGTCCGCGTAATTCGCGGATCTCTTCTACTGAATGTGATGTATGTATACTACTCAATTTATGTATGTATACTTCAAGTTCTTCAACTGCAAAGAAACTACAAATTTTCTTTACCAAAATAAACAAGTAAATGGTTCCTTATGTATCATGAAATTTAAGTTTACATTGGGAGATGTAAGAGAAAGATTTATAAAAATGTTTCGTCGATAAATCTATGACTCAATCATTACTCATAGCAGAGCAAATGACCACACATGTTGAATTGATCTCAGGATGGACTTGTGTCATCGCGTCATTTGTGTTTCATATCTTCTCAATGACGTCCAACATGCTATTCAAACATCATTCTTTATATGTGAAAACGTCATTGACAAAAATACAATAAGCGCTATTAAGAAAATATGTTACTTGCAACCATTGTACACAATTTTTCTTTGTATAATTCGTTTGTTTTTACTTTTTCGGCATAATATGTACTGCTTACATAGAAAAGTTAAAGTTCGATATTGTGCTGCAACGGAAAGGAGCGATTTTTCGTCAGAGAAATGTGAGGCCCTGATATCGAAACTATTGGGGATACAACCGAGTACGGTACTTTCTTGCTTTATTAATAACGTTTGTAATTTTCTAAAATTTAGTGAGTTCAACAAAAAAGAGGCTTACGCCATTTTTAAACATCGTTTACTATATCCGAAGATGAAAAATCCATGTATTTGGAGCCATTTTAAGACAATTTTGAAAATGTTGTTAAGGTATCTTGTAAATTATCCCCCGAAATACAAACATCCGTATAATATTAGTTTACTAATATTAGTTTACTAATATTATATTAGTATTAAAATTGTACCACACTCATAATAATAGCTTATTATAGTTTTTAAATTATTTTTCATTATGTCCCAATTTGTTTTGTAAAATGTCCCTAATTTTACATCTCTAAAGATGGCAACTCCACCGTCAGATAATAAATTGTTTATTATAAATAGAGTGGAATTGAATTAATGCCTTATTTTACGTAGCCTTACGTGATGACTCGGGTCATCAGGCCTGATTTACCGTCTGACCACACAAATTTCGCTACACTCCTTTCACCAACTAGTGGAGAAAGGAGGTATTTCTTGGGCGACGAAACAGGCAATTTGAATTTAGCTCAGAGGCGTCATTTAGGGTTGAGGATCTTTTACATGTATGTAAATCTACTAACATGGGACAGCCGGCTTACGAAGTTTTACTTGGAAGTACGTTTTTTCGCCCTTAAAAATCCACGGCGTCAATCGAGTTTGAACCTGCCATCTTGGCGGTCCGATATACCAGTCCGATACGTTAGCCGTAACACCATCGCCGCCGTGAATTTATGTTAATATAAATTAGGCTAAAAATGTATGAACATTTTCATAGTCATAGTCATTAACATAGTAATTTTTTGTCGTATACTTTCGTATACGGAGTAATATGCATAGTATACAGAAAGTTCAGTAATGATGCGGCGAAAAGTACCGATTTTTCGACAGCAAAAACTATACTTATGGCTCCCTGATACAATAAGAGAGGATTTTTCTTGCTCTTATATTAACTAAATTACTTTCTCTTGTACATAATCTAGACAAAATCCAAGTATTGAGTATTACAAGTTTTGTACTTCCTTAATACCGAACATTTTATATTTATTCAAATGTCCGTCCGTCCCTATGCGAACAATACTAGAGCGCGCCGTAACTATTCATGTATAATCAATATTCCTCGCCCAATTTGACCCGACTTGCCCTGCGATTTGGAAATAATTATTTAAATTTTATGGATGCTTCACATGAAGCACCAGGGCAATTTTCAAAATGTTTTTAAAAATGGCATATATATTTTTTTTAATTCCTTTTTTTATTTCCTTTGTTATCCCTGAATTTTCGAAAAGTTCAAATGTTTGACTTGTTTTGAACCATTTCTTACAACTAGATTATTGAAGATTTATTCTTCAAATGAAATTTGATGTCGTCAATTAGTTCTTTTATTAAAGTCATGCATATCTGTTTCGAAAATACTAGTATTTTCCGCGCAAGTTTGAATGAAATAGGGCAAAATAAAATATTAAAAAGAAGATTTTCTCAAAAGCTGCTCTTTGTGCAGATAATACAATGCAGATAAAGACAATGAATAAAATATCATAAAGGGCATTTTGTTGTATTCTATGGATTTAAAAAATATGCAAATGCATTTTTTAAATATCTATCACGTTGTTAATATTTATGTTGTATATGCACCCTAAATGTATTCCTCTTTTGCTGTTGGGGATTTGACGCTCAACAGTTGGCAGCACGCGATGCACTGGCGCAGTCTGCCATTCTCTTGCTGCAACGAGCATGCCTCAGTCTCTCGCCGTCAATCGTAGTGGACGAACGTTCTCCCCGTGTTCCCGAGTGACAGTTAATAAGTTGTCGCGCGTTATTACCTATTATGTATCGCTAAGAAACCAGAGAGCTTCACCGCTGCGTGCGAGATTGCCCACGCACTCGAAGCCACGCGCAACACCGCTAACGAAGTCAAAGCTAACGAAGACATAACCTTAAAACCCGATTCGACTCATTGGATAGGTTATGAGAAGCCACCGTTACGGAGCAACAACCAACGGCCTCCGAGTTGGTCAACAAGCCAGCGACAGAGCGGCAACCAATCACGGCCATAACAAGGGTTTCATCAACCAAATCAGACAACATCAGAGAATCAGCCAACGTGCGCGGGATATGGTGATCACTTCCGCAGTCAATGTCGGTTTTTTGTTGCTGAATTATGGAAATGTGGTAAGAAAGGCCACATTGCCAAAGTTTGCCGATACAAACCGAGACAACGGACGACTAATCAGGTAACTGAGGAGGCCGCAGAAGAATTACCAGCCGACCGCAGCGACACCGTACACGTCGGTAAGATTGAAATTATTGGAAAAGTTCAGTCCTCAGGACGGCAATTGATCGACGTCAGTATAGAGGGAACCACCGTTAAGATAGAACTTGACACCAGCGCCTCCTGTTCGTTCATGAACAAATCGAAGTTGTCTAATTAAACCAAACTTTATGCTGCAAAAAACTGATTGCCTCTTCGCCAGTTACACCGGCCGCCGAATCAACTGCATCGGTAAGACGTTAGTCACCGCCATCATCGGGACCACATCCAGAAACCTTAACCTCTATGTCGTCGACGCTGAATTTGAAACGCTACTGTTAGAGAATGGATTTCTGAGTTTCTGCGGAAGATAAATTTTGAACGCATCTTTCCCAAACCAGAATCAATCCACGACCTCTCCACCGAGCCATTCCTATCGTAGGATCAGATACTCGACGCCACCATCGATTGTTGCCAGGATGCTTTCAGCGATTTTCCCGGAAAGTTATCAGGCCCACAAGCAAAGATGCATCTCAAGCCGGGTGCCACGCCCATCTTTGCTCGAGCTCGAGACGTCCCCGTGGCCCTGCGTGACGCTTACGCCAAAGAAATCAACGCCAAGATCGCATCCGGCTTTTACAAGAGAGCATAGTACTCAGAATGGGCATCTACGACGCATGTAGTCGCCAAGAAGAACGGAAAATTGAGAATTACGTGAAACTACAAACCCACTCTCAATCCACGAATTATCATCGACGAACATCCAATCCCAAAGGTAGAACACTTGTATAACCGGATGCGAGGCGCCACCCTCTTTTGCCACCTAGATGTCACTGACGCATACATCTACTTGGAAGTTGACGACGAATTCAGCCACGCGCTCACTCTCAACACTGCAACTCATGGCTCGATCCGCCCAACCCGTGCTGTCTATGGTGCAGCTAATATTCCTGCTATCTGGCAGTGGCGTATGGACACCGTCATACAAGGTCTCGAAAATGTAGTACGTTTCTTCGATAACTATTGTTTTTGCAGCCAATTTTGAAAAACTCATTGAGGCCCTCAATGTAACACTGGATCCTCTTCGCCAACATGGTCTTAAACTGAACCGAGCCAAGTGCAAATTCGCAGAACCTGTCCTGGAAGCCCTTGGCCACAAGGTCGATGCGACGGGCATCCATAAATCGGATATGCACATCCGAGCCGGCCGAGATACGCCGAAACCAACAACCCCGGAGGAACTGCAGCTGTTTCAGGGGAAAGCAACCTATTATAGCGTATTCATTCCAGATTTATCAAACAGAGATCGACCACTTAGAGACATGCTGCTGAATGACCCCCTCGTGTGGACCCCAGTGGGTGAAAGGGCTTATAAGGATCTTAAGGATGCGCTGACCTCGTCCCAAGTATTCATGCGGTATGACCCGTCACTGCCACTCTTAATGGCAACCGACGCCAGCAAA